GTTCACAGGGTCGGAGCTGCACGGCTTAGGGGAGGGGCATTTTGCACTTCCGCTCGTTAATTTTGCTAATTCATATCAGGTAGAAACGTGTGAAGCTGCGAAATGGTACGAGTTATCCACCGTGGCCATAGAGATTTACAGGTGTTCACAAGATGTTCAGTAGGAACTTCGAAGGGCCATTTGGTGCTCCATCCGAGCCCCGATCTGCGCCAATGTTCTGCTTCGAAGCCAATTGGTCGTAACACAGGGCACTTCATCCTAGAAGGAATCCTCAACGGGAAAATCGTTTTAACTCACCGAGAGGGCTCTGTTTCAAAAAGGATGTGAAAATTTGAGGAAGGGTCCAAACGAGGTTATTTGAAAGCGAATTTCATGGTAGCCCTAACTTTTCTGTGATGAAAAAAGCAAGATAAATCGTCAGAAACGGCTTAGACAAGGCCTTGCTTCCTCACAGCGAGAGGCAAAAAGTTAATGAGGATCTGAGGTGAGAAACCAGAGAAGAGCAGCGAGAGAGCATAAGAACGAGCCAGATGACAGCTAGCAACATGGGCGGAGTCACTTGAGTAACGTTGCGCCTACACCCTCCCCCCACTACATTGCACCTTCCTGACTCAAGATTTGTTCAAGCTTGCCCATAGTAGTTCGCTTCACCTTTCTCCACGAACAGCTTAGATACTTAAAAGTGATCGTTAAGCATAAAAAAAGCTGTGCTTGACAAAGTGCATATCAACCCCTCAGTGCACCTCAGCTTATATGTTACTGTGTTCAGGTGTATTATGTCAAAGTCACTGGCCCTGAAAAAGATGAACTGATTGAATTTCACGGCGGTACAAGTCAAGAGAGGTGGACGGTTGCGGGTAGTCTTGTGTCAGAGGTGAAAGGGACAACGCAATGATAGCCGACTCACAAAGTCACCTTGTTATGAAAAACAACTTTGAGCTGTTTGCTGTTGGGTCCCCACAAAAACTGAAGCGGAAAAGCAAGCAAGGACTACTTTTTCTCCGAAGTGCACATAGTTCCAGTTTCCTCATACTTGCCGCACAGTATTAAAGGGCGATGTTGTCTCTAAACCAGAGCACTGAGTAGCTTAGCGCGTGTGGTTCAATTCGTGAAGTTACACTGCCCATCCCTGAGACGGAGTGGGTGTGGCATCTGAACAGAATGGGCTAATCGAGGGGTATTCCAGTTTAAGATAACCGTCATCCTTGTTCTGTTTTGGATAGAGACATTATCGTAATGATGTCACAAAGAAAATATTTCCCGAAAAGCACAGCCACAGTCACGTTTAGCTGAAGTACGCAGCCACGCCTACCACCATTTTTTTCCCTTGTCAGGATTCCGAGCTGGTCTTGAATCTGGCGCGTGGGAGCAATAGCCCTATCATCGTGCCGTGTCGGTCAACTGATTGTGACGACCATGACCTGTACCTATGGTTATTCATGTGCTTCACTACAGAATGATTTATGCGAAAGAAGATTAATAATTCTTATTTATCCTGTAGCAACAATAGATAATACAGAAATATAATTAACAGTGACATACAGCACACACAAAGAAGGAGCATCAAAGCTATTCCTAAATTCAAATTTTCAAAGTAATTTTGTACTTCGACACAGTCGAGCCGGTAATTTTGGGCCACAGTTTTGCCTCTGGTTCTAACTCAAGCTTTCTACTTTTTTCGTGCAACTCACCGGCTTCGACGTTGTCCAACAAGGAACAATTTGAGATACTGGAAGAGATGAAGTGACGAGAATAATTCAAAAAGTCCAACATTTTGGAGGGGTCCTGTAGATTTGATGAGTCTCTTAATCAACGATGTATTCTCGTTCTTCGTCCAAGAATTCAATTTCCAGATTGACAGCACCGATATCCATCGTTTTTCGAGGTACCATACCATCGGTGATGTATTTGTCTGGTAGCGAGAATTTCACTTTCGACTATCCGGGTGAAATTAGATCAAGCGTCTTGATTGTTCAATTATTTCCGATGATTTTCGTGTGAGGAAATATGTCATTTCGTTCGAACATAGATGCAGTTCTAGCAGATTGTATGGGAGAGTTACAACTACAACCCTGCCTTCCTAGATGACTAACGAACCCTCTACCGTGTGACCCTTTTTCGGCCTCTCATTGTCAGAAAGGAGAGGCCTTTTGGAGAGCGAAACGCCAATGTGAGGCCTGTTTCCGATGAAATGATCAGCGCATAGCGTGCCTTCAGAGGCAGTTGCTGTGTTGACTAAGAGTGGGCAGTAATGTCTGTTTCATAGGGATCGTTGGGCCACAGCCTCACCAATGTGATACAAAATATGTACATCCAGTAATGGCGCTAGAATTACTGCACTCCCCCCCCATTCCTAATCAGCATACCCACAGCCTTTCGTGAAGGCCGGTCAAAAACGGTCTCAAGATCTTGAACAAAATGTTACCTTAGGAACGCTGAGGAAGCCTGTGACGTCATTGCAGTCATGATAGATTTTCAGAATAGGATCGATCGGTGTCGTTTCCACAGTTGCACCCTGGAGTTGGAATTCACCATTCTGGTCGGTATAGCCCTGATCGAGAAGGTCGTCCGGATCTGGTCCTGAAATCAAGGCAAATATAAAATGAAATGAGGTTCGTTGTACGTG